GGAGGGAGGGAGGGAGGGAAGCCCCGGGGTTATCGAACGGGCAGCAGCGGGCTGGGGAGCCCCTCTGACCCGCAGGTATTTATAGCGGAGAGCTTGAAGAGGAGCAGAGACTGCGGGTGTACGCGTGCTCGGCTTGCTCCCTCTGCATCTGCTTACGGCCTGCCGCCTGCTATTTTTAGCAGCCGTTAAATTGTGTTCAGGAGACTTATTCTCGCGTCTTTTTGGTTATCTGCGTTTGCTGTTCTCCCTGCCAACCTGGCAAAGAGACTGTTGTAATTCCTTTCCCCGGCCTCTCTCTCTAACTTCATCCCGGTGATCCCGTGCCGCTGGGCTTCCCACGCTGAACACAGTGCAGGGCGCTGGTTCTGTGGCTCGGACTATCTTGGCTGCTGTGCTGGCCTTGAACAGCCCGGACTACGCCGTCCTAGAGTGAGCTTTGTGCTCTCCTCAGGGAGAGGGAGGGATGTTAAGGGATGTTATCTTTTGGCAAATGTTAGGAGGTCATCAATGGAGCGAACCCCCAGTTTTGGCTCGCAGGAGTAGGGAACTAGAGGATCCCTTGCTTCAGTTCTCAGTGCAAAACACAGGTGTTCAGATCAGACAGTGTAACTAATAAGCTTACATGTAACTTGTAAAAAGTCCTTCAGTGCTAGAATGAAGCAGATGCTTTTGGCAATCCGTGGCCCTTCTGCAGGTGCTACCATCACATCTGCAAAGGCAGACAGCAGGGACCTTCTTCCTTTGGAGAAGCTTCCAGGTTTTCTGTGCTTCCCCAGAGTGGTATGTCCATGAAACGTTGTTTTGGAGGAAATTGCCATATCTGCCCACTGGACTTGGCTTAGGCTGAGGCCAGGAATGGCTGCTGAACGTGCCGTATGACGCGGCATGCTCTGTAGTCACACACTTCAACGCCTGGGCCTCGGCAGCTGGATGGAGCGTAAAGGCCCCTAGCACTGGCCTGAGGGACCGAACTGTAGACCTCTGTCTTTGACAAGATGCTCTTTAAGGAGAGAGCATCTGGGTAGCCCCAGAGCCAGGAGGAAAACTGTGAGTCATAACCGTTTGTTTTGTTGCAGGTGCTGCCGGAGTGCTGGTAGGACACCCGTTTGACACCGTTAAGGTGGGTTGATTATGAAATATGTTTGTCTCTAGGTAGAAAATCTACATTTTTTTTTTTCCAAGGAGGGGGGGAGGAAAAATTATCCCCAGCCACTGTAGGAGCATAAATCTGTGCTGGAAAGCTTGGAGCAAGCCTTTTCAACCACTGCTGATAGAGTTGCAGTCTCCAGTTCTTCAGAAGTGAAAAAACTTTGTATATATGATTCAGCCCAGTAACATGACAGACGTTGGTCTAAACTACAAAGTTCATCAGTGCAGTAACATCACCGTATTTGAAAATACGATCTTGGGTTAATTTTGTTCTAAGCTTGCTTCTCTGCAGCTGTTCATCCTAACTGCTAAAACCGCTTCTCCCTGCGTTTGTAACACAAACCTACTTTGTTACTAGGTTGAAAATGGGTGATTTGTTTCCCCCTCAGGCTCTGCTACTTACTCCTCAAGCATTAGTTACACTTGCCAAAGGATGTGAGTAAAAATCCACAGCGTGAAGTTTGTCTGGGGCCTTTTTCCTCCCTTTAAGTAGTATTATATTTTTTTTAATAACTACCCAAGTTGACAATGATTTTTGATGGTCGCTTAGCTGTACATAATATGCATACTAAGGGTAGCTAAGCCAAAGATAAGATCTGAAATCTCCCAGAGAGCCCTTCAGCCAGGACTCCCAGGGGTCCAAGCGCATTTTTTCAGAAGGGAATAGCAACTTCAGTCACTTTTTGGCAGCCTTATTCAAAGTCTTGCAGTGGAAGAATAGAGGAAGGGATGCCAATGTATTCCCTGCTAAATTAATACACCAGATCACTTGACTGCAGCAGACAGCCTGCCACCCGCTAAAGCTATATTTGGAATACTTCTACCTTGCAGAATTTAGATATGCAAAGGGCTGATAGCGTTACCCCGGCCATCGCCATATCCTGTATTCTACCACATGGTTAACTCTGGCACTAGGTAGGAAAATCTGTACTATTAGTCCTTGCCAGTCAAGTGCAAGCTGCTCAAATAGTAAGAACTGTATTTATGTTTCTCAGAGTATGGTAAATTCGACTATTAAGTAATTAGGTAGAATTTTAGTATATATTTTCAGGAATAGTATTATCCACACTTGCATGGGATTTTTTTATAGTGGTACAGGGCCAGCTGTTTATTTTCTCACCCCCATCCTGCCACGTTTTACATGTTTAACTTAAGGTGATGGGTCATTTCACTGAAGCCAGAAAAATGCTAAAATTTTATGCTCAGGCTAAAGTTAATCATGTGTGGGTTTTGGTGGGGGAATTTTCTTTGTTTTAAAGAGGAACAGCTTCTAGTGCATGAAACTAAACGTTTGAGTGTCTGCAAGACTGGGGTTCCTGTGCTAGTTCTAGCAGAAATATTAATGCAAAATAGACATGTTGGCTTTAGAAAAAGCATTTTGCTTTACAACACGGCAAGTAGTTTGTTCCTGGATGGCTTTAAATGTTCTTTATGAAATCCAGTGTGCACGCTGTATTTTCATATCCATTAGAAGGTGTTACAAGCTTGTATCTATTTTTGTCAGAGAAAATACTTATGTTTGTGTTTATTAGCTGACATAGTCACCACTGTATGTGGGGAAAACTAATGCTATAATCCGTCTTAAAAAAAAAGACATTTCATAATTTGTTGTGTATGTATGTGTGTTACTCTTTTTTTAGCTCTGCAGTGTGTAAAGGGCTAGCTGGTAGTCACCTTAGACTGTAAGTTTTTAATCTAACTGAACAATGGGAAACCTGCTTTAGATAAGCCAGAATTTTACTTCTGTTTTGGCTTTTAAGCTGTTTTTTGGCCAGTGATGGTGTTTCACAAAGCGGGGAGGGGGATGGCGGGACACACAGGGAGAGATTACGCTGGTTAAGTCATCCTGCAAAACGCACAACTGAGCTCATCTCAGCTCTGGCAAACTCCTTATCCCTGGTTTGTTGATGTAATGTATAAAATTGCTTTTTTGCTTTTAACTGCCTTTACTTTCTGAGCTAGGGGCTGTCTTCATTAACAGCAAAAGTGTTACTTTGTTGTAGATGACAGATAAGCCTCATCACGGGAGAGTTACCTAGTAAGTATAGCCCAGGTGAACACTTCTGTTTCTCTCAGTCTTAATTTATTCAATCCAAATGTATTAGTTCAAATAAAGATCTAAAAGACTTATGAAGCTTTTTTCCTTTTTAGTTTTAAACTGATGTGTCCCTCTTCTACATGGAGGGAGCGGGGTTTAAATATCCTTTTTTGTTTTTTAATGTAAAATCTTATTCTGAACCTTCTTTCTGGTATGCATTTCTGGCTATAAACACTTCCACACAGAGTGGCTCTAAAACTGAATCTCAGGCACACTGTTGTTGAGGTCTTACCTACTACATATCCCTGCAGAACACTTTCATTGCTCAAATGCTTTGAAATCAGTTGTTTTGCACGCTATCAAATATTTGGACTGCTTTGGGGGTGTGGTGGTTTGGGTTTTTTGTTTAAATCTGGAGTACATTTATGCAAGCCTTCTAGTGATACGAAATTAGAGTGGAATTGGACCTAAAACCTTAGTAACAGTGGTTTCAAGTAAGAAGGAAGCAAGAATATTGTGCAATGAATAGAATAGAGTTAAACTTTGCATATGATTCATCCTTCCTATAGTTGGATACACTAAATAAGAGCTTACTGATTTACTATCCATATATAAATAAAGTCTCATAGGCATTGATTGCCCAAGTTGTGGCAGTTCACTAGTGTGAGTACCCCTATATGGGCATCACTGTGCTCAAATAAGACCTGTTCTTGATTCCTAGACTGGAGTGTCAGTACTTAACTTTCTAAATGTTTTATCCTACAACAAGGCTTAATTGGTCCATATTTCACAAAATATTTAGACAAAATAGTTGGCGCTGCATGCCACTAGGGAATTCAACCTGTATACAGAGTATGACTAATTCTAAACTACCGAAGACCCCAGTATATAGAAAAGTCAATGTTAAAAGGTTCCTAAGCTGCACTTCTCCCAAAGCCCATACGTGTGGAAAACCCCTGACTTCAGAGACAGGGTTTAACGATAGCAGTAAACGATGAATGGAGTAAAACCTGTGTTTTGTGCAATTCTGACAGTTCAGTCAGATTTATGACTTTGCTTGTGGGTCTGCTTCTTGAGCAGATTTAACAATCTGCCCACCCCTGATGTTACTGTGAGTAACAAAGGATTTATTTTCTTAGAAGCTTACCGTAAGCCTACTTTTACAAGAAATTTTAAAACCCTGTTCCATCCTGGAAGACCTGAGGTGATCTTGGCCTCCCAGTACAGCTAGTGTATGCTTAGCGAGACACTGAAAACTGAAGTTTTGTTTTAAACAATGTAAAATGACATGTTGTAGGAATATTAAAAAATACTGAAACTGTAAATAATTTTATTTTTGCCTCAAAGCTAACCTGAATATAGAATTCTGATGTACCGTGTCCCCAGATCCTTTTCTAGACCCACATCATCTTACAGGTCTGTCGTGGTGGTGGTGTCTGTCATTACTTTAGGCAAACCCCCATAAAAAGATTTTCAAGTCAGGAATCTCTCAGGCAGACCTGATAACCTTTACTTTTGTTCACAGTAAGAGTGTTGAAGTTTTGCCCTGGAGTTGCAGCCGCAGCATTAAATGGCTGATAAGCATCTTTTCCAAGGAACATTGCAGTGTTCCATGCTGGAGATCAGAGTTTTCTAACTTTTCCCAGTGCAGTGAAGCCAATTTGAGTTTATTGCAGCGTAGGGCTTTGCATGAACTAGGTGGCCTTGAGACTTTAAGTGTGCTGAGGAGACATTAACAGGGAATAAAAAACCCAAAACCAAACCCAGAATTGGACTTTCCCATTAAAGATTAAAAACCATCTAGAAAAAGGGCCTGTCTTCTAATGCCACCAGTTAGAGTGGCCTCTCTCTGACCAGCAGAATGTACCATTTCAGCTTTGGAACAGTTAAGTGATTACAAACATTAGAGGTTTGAAACAGCCACACCCTCACAAATTGCTTGTGTTCAGCATTTAAAAAAAAAAAAGACAAATTTAAAAAGACAAGTGGCTTTTTACTCCTTTCTTTATGCAAAGTAAGGCAGCTTAAGATGAGTCACTTCTCAGCTACCCTGTGAAAGAAATTGGATCCCGGTGAAGGGTCCCAAGTCTTGTAGCCAGAAACACTGTGTGTGCTGTTGTTGAAAGTTTCCATCCTTCTAAAATTATCCTTATTTCAGGTCTGACTTGTAAATAGAATTTCATAAAAGTTAATCAGGTTTGTACAGTTATTCCTTAGTGTGAGAAGTAATATTTTTGGCAGCTAAAGAAAGGGCTTTCTAGAGCCAGTACTGGAAAACTTCAGTCTGAAATTCTAGATGTGTACCCTGTTGTATTTCTACATACTGTTTTTCTAATATTCACAAGAAGTTAATAATCCTCCTCCCTTCATGTTTTCACCCCAAAAATTAATTCAAAACACAGAATATTTTTAAATTATCTTGCCACTCACGGCCTTCCAGTGTCCAGCCTGTGTTCTTGCATATACATTGCTATAGAAAATCTCCATATATGTACAAGACACTAGCTTACCAATTAGGCTGCTCTTGATGTACAAATCAGTATCTCATACAACTTTTTATAGGTTCGTCTACAAGTTCAAAATGTAGAGAAACCTCTCTACCGTGGGACCTTCCATTGCTTTCAGTCCATTATAAAGCAAGAATCTGTAAGTAAAAAATTAGTACTTTGCATGTTTTGTACCTTCATGTATTTTGTTTCAGAAGGGTGGGAAAACTGTTAAAAAAACCATACAAATACTGAAGACCAAGAGAAAAAGCATGTTCTGAACCTCACTTGACCATAGGGCAGATCGTTGTCGTTCCAAGCTTGCCAGAAGCTTCATTAAGATCACCAAGTTAGAAGTTGCTATTTTGAAGTTAACTCCTAAAATAAGTCAGTTATTTGACTAGCTAATTTTCTGAGAATCCAAACAATCTGAGCAATGAGTTAAGAAATTGGTGAGGTGGTGTGTTTTTTCTGCTGAAGCTTTAAGACCATAACTAAAAGGGTAGTTTTAGGCTTTTAGCTACTTAAAGTCTACAATTTACCAGAAAACTTGTCTCTGGATGGACTAAGATTCTTTTCTGGATGTGCTGAACTACTCATTTGTACTGCTAAAAACATTTAGATGTTTTGTGTGCTAGGCAGTGATGAAATTATTAATTATAAAGCAAGATGGTACTGATCACCTGGCCACTGTTACAATGTTAGGGCAATGGGAGAGCCAGAAAGGCCCTGTTTTGCACAGTTTCAGGAGGCTATTAATGTTATTATAGAAGGTTTTTGCTTCCTTCTTCCATTAGGCTTTTGGACTCTATAAAGGTATTGGGTCACCAATGATGGGACTTACCTTCATTAACGCCCTTGTGTTTGGGGTACAAGGAAACACACTTCGTGCACTTGGAAAAGACACTCCTCTAAACCAGTTCCTTGCCGGGTCAGCGGCAGGGGCTATCCAGTGCATCATCTGCTGTCCCATGGAGCTGGCAAAGACAAGAATGCAGCTTCAGGGCACAGGTGAATACAAACTAAAAACGAAGAACTACAAAAATTCTCTGGACTGTTTGGTCAAGATCTATCGAAAGGAAGGGCTGCGGGGCATCAATCGTGGCATGGTCTCTACATTCATAAGAGAGACTCCGAGCTTTGGCTTTTACTTCCTGACCTACGACTGCATGACCAGGTATTTAGGCTGTGAAGCTGAAGACAGTTACGTTATCCCCAAACTGCTCTTTTCTGGGGGCATGTCAGGAATCGTGTCCTGGCTCTCAACCTATCCCATGGACGTGATCAAATCCCGGCTCCAGGCTGATGGAGTTGGAGGCGTTACGCAGTACAAGGGCATCTTAGACTGCGTCAGAAAGAGTTACCATGAAGAAGGCTGGAGGGTGTTCACAAGAGGCCTTACTTCCACGCTCCTCCGCGCTTTTCCTGTCAATGCAGCTACCTTCGCTACTGTCACCGTGTTCCTGATGTATATGAGGTCAGAAGACAACCTTCGTGAATGTGAGCCAGGTCCAGTAATCCAGCAGCCTTCCAGTTTGTGAACCTTACCCATTTGTTCTGATCCAAAGCCTGGCTGGTTGGGTTTTTTTAAACATAAACACTTGACCCACACAAGTGGTGCAAGTCTGTTATCTGTATAAAGAATTCCTAAACATGCCACACTAGGATTTCATTTCATTACATGTATAAACAGCATATTGCCTTACTGAGGACTTCATATCTAGTAGTATCCAAGTAAGAAGGGGACCTGCCTTTAGAAAGTACTGTACAGTTACTGTTGTGGCTCCAGAAGAGGATCTGGAGAATGTCATAGTACAAAAAAAATTGTTTTCTTCCACTTATGTTCTGAATGATGCAGTTGGGTTGAATGCAGAAATGTTTTCAGAACAGAAATGCTCTTTGTGTATGGAACAGGAGTAAGTGTAGCCCTCTGAGGTGAAGTAGGGGGAGGAAATTAAATGCTGGAGGCATTTTGCAGGTAACCCTGAACTGTTTAAGATATGGACTACCATTCATCTAGCCTTGTATTTTACTTTTCCTCTGCTTTTATACATCAGTGGGTTTAGTAGCAACTTTGTTCATACTGGTTTGCTTAAAAAAAAAAAAAGGCAAAGTATAAAAAAATCATTATTTGTATGTAAGTTACTCCCTCCCTGTTCAGCTTTGAATAAATATCTTAAGCACAAAGTTGGCATCTGCACTCATCTGCACTTGTTCCTTCAAATCTCAAGGCTTGTAAGGATTTAGGGAAACTCAAATCTAGTAAGATTTATGTTATTTGCCTTCACCTCTATTTCTCATTTGGTGGGTAAATGGCTTGTATTGACTAGATTCAGCCCAAGTAGACTTTGCTCTCTGAATTTAATGCAACTTTGCACCACTTCTCCCAACATGCCCCATAGCAGCCAGTGATGTACAGAAGTCAAAGTCCTGTCTGTGGTATTGCACAAAATGTTTGTGGGTGCAATGTTAGCTTAGCAGCTTGAAGTACTGTAGAAATAAGTCAATGTTTAGAACTGGGGGTTTCATACCTTTCCAGAAAATAGTAAGTGTCCGAAATGGTTGGTGTTCAATACACTTGCATTATGAATTTAAACAGTAATGATTTTTATGTATTTAGTTACAGTGCTACTGGAAGAAAGACTGAAAAGGGGGTTGGAGAATTTTCTTATGTTAATCTGCTGTGATTTTTTTCATTTTTAGCAGTCTGTTTCTAGAGGGATTGCATTAGTTGAAGAGCTGTAAACAGTTATTTAAGATTTGGAACAGAACTACACATATTCAGCACAAATAGCAGGGAGGAAGGAGTTCTAAACTGTATCAAACTAGTTCAGTAAGTAAAGCTGATTACACTTTTGGTTGGGACAAGTGCAATATGTGTTTAATTTATACCAATTTTCTAAAAAAACCTTATTTCATAGCATTTTGCACTGTAACAAAATGTGCTGGAGAAACCTGTAAAACTGGTATGTCTTTTTATACCTTGGAGGTATGTTGGATGTTTTAGTGCCTACTTGCACTGAGATTCAAATTGAATGTTAAATCTGTCTACTAAGCTGCATATGCACAACAACTCACAGCAAAGACCATTTACACCTTTGTACAGTGTTCTGTAATTACTGTATATAAAATTGAGGAAATAAATTTTATAAAAATTTTGACTTTGGTTCTTTAAGGTCTCTTACGTTTTAATCATATTTTTAACCCTGCCCTGGTGTTAAATCTCAGTTGCAAGAGGGTGGGGTTTCTGGATTTTGCCTGATGAAACTTGTTCCCCATCTGCATTCCGTATACAACGAGGAAGGGCAGTGCCTTGCTCTGGCTTGGTTTGTTGAAGCAAAGAAGATAAGTCACCTGAGCTTGCTTCCTCACACTGATCTTTTCAGTGAGTACCTCACTTGAAGATACTAAAGTTACTAAGAGAACGATCCTGGTTTCAGAGCCGAAGAGCTGGCAGCACGCTTGGACCCTTGGTGTTCTGCACTTCCGTGGTTTAAGCAGCGTGGATCAGCACCAAGGCTGCACGGCCGTGGAAGACAAGTCAGGTCCCTGCAGAGTCACACCAGAGTCACGTACCAGGCCTGCCAACAGTTCGTACCTGGGTCAGAAGGATGCTTGGCTCTAAGGTGCACAAATTCAGCAAAAAGCTTCGTAGGTTGTAGCTTTCTGGTTATGGACAGTGCAACTAGCCCACGAAGAGCATCAATATTCCAGATACAAAAAAAAACAACACAGGAAAAGCATGATGATGCATGTTATAACCTATGGAAAAGACCCCTCCTTGCTGATGAGAGGTTACTTCAGGCACTGGCTCCACTAATTCATCTTCATAAATACAGGTGACTGAAAGAAACCCTGCCAAGCACCCTCTTGCTAGATCAGAACAGAGAAAGGCCCCCATTCCTCCAACTAACCCTGACCAGGGGCAGTTCTAGGCAAGTACTTTGTGTTTCCTCAGTTAAAGCAACAGAGTTGAACTATGGCACCCAAACAAACACTTGGAATAGGCAAACAAGTATCTCCCTAGATGACGGTAGCATCATTAAATAAGAAAAAGGGCTACACAATGTTTTCTCTCAGTGCTGGTTTTGGTTGGGGTAGAGCTAATTTCCCTCACAGCAGCTAACATGAGGCTGTGTTTTGGATTTGTGCTGAGAATATTGACAACATGCTACTATTTTTAGTTGTTGCTGTGGAATGTTTATACCGTCAAGACTTTTCAGTTTCTCACACTGTCCGTGTTCCCAGCTGCTTCTCTACAAGAAGCTGGGAGGGGGCACAGCCAGGACAGCTGACCCAGCCTGACCAAAGGGACATTTCATGCCAAACATCATGGTCAGTATGTAAGTTGGGGAGATGGCCAGGAGGGAAAAATCACTGCTTGGGAACTGGCCGAGCATCAGTTGGCCAGTGGTGAGCAGTTGTATCATTCTGTTTTCCTTCCCTTTCTCCTTTCCTTATTACTTATTACTATCATTATTATTATCAGTGTTTTCATTACATAATATTGGCATTAGTATTAGCATAATTATTTTATTTACTTTCAATTCTTAAATTGTTATCTCAACCCACAAGTTCTCTTATCTTTTACCTCCAGTTCTCTCCTCCATCCTTCGGGGAGAGGGGGGAGACAGTGGGAGGGGAAGTGCGGAGCAAGCATCGATGTGGTACTCGGTTCTTTACTGGGGCTAAACCACAACAATTCACTGAAACATTCTCTCCAGAAATTCATCCATCTGGAACTTGAGGAATAGCAGTAGCAGATGCTGGAGGTTACTCTACAAGCCTAAGAGAAGGGCAAAAGCCAGTTTTCAACCAAGTCTGATGGTTGCTCAAAATCTGCGTGAGTCCTAACCATTAAATCAAGCTAGACAATAGCTTCAGCCTTTTAAAACATGATTCAGTTCCCTCTTGCTAGATTTTAGTGATATGTCAGCCAATTTAGCCAAGTCAGACAGAACTGTATTCTGCCTCCCCAGATCCTCCTTCCCACAAGCATCATGATACTGGTAGGAGATGCTCCATTCATAAATACCCCAACAACTGAAAGGAATGCACAAGCAGAACTCACCGAAAGGAAAACTCACCTACTATCAAGCCCCTGTGCTCTGCTCCTAATGACCCCCCCTGTTACTGGGTGGATCGTACCAGTGTTGCAAGTTACACTCACAAATCCATGCAATTATCACAAGAGGAAAAAGCAGCGCCCAAGCCATTTTCATCCTCCCAGCACCACTGTTTTGCAATTTTTGTACTAGTGTTGTCCTCTCTAATTATAAAAGTGGTTATCACCAACAGAAAAAGCTGGTGACATGCACAATAATACAGTAAAAGCTTGTCTACTTATAGTTTATTATCAGTTTTAACTGATCTGACCTAGAATGTGATTTTAAGCTATATAGTTCCATCAATAAATAAATTGAAAGCCAGTAAGGCAAGGTCTGCAGTGAAGAACACATTGATGCCGTTGGAAGATAGGCAACTCCTCGTGTCCACAAAGCATTTTTCACATCTTTAAAGCTTTACATCTTAACACAGCTAAATTGCTTCTTGGTATTAGTTTACTTATGCTTTATTATCTACTACTTATACTTTATTACGACTGCTTTTTCTTACTGAAGGAAACCCTCCAGGTTTCTTACTAACAGTAAAATAGAATTGTACCATCTCAACCATACCCATGCATCAATCCATGAAACACTAGAATCCTAATGAAGCCTGACCTCATGGTCTGCACTGTTTGCTAAACATATCACAGGAAGAATTGTGGCTAAAAGTAATTTGACTTGGTTAGTCTACAGTTGCTGTGAAAGAAAATAAGTATTATTTTTCTAGGACCTGATCTGTCTTAAATTTAGCCTAGATCCAGTATATCAAGTATTGCAACTAACCAGGCCAAAGAGCTTCTTACTTGTGCACTGATGTGTTTTCACTTAAGGAAGAACCTACCACAGGTAATTTTCAAAGAGGCTAGTAACAAAGTTCAAGCTTTTTAACGGCAATTAAAGGACATAAAAGTGAAAAATAACTCTTACCCTTGATTTCCTCCATGCAGACACCTGCTTCCCTGACAGTTCATGAGTGAGAGGCTGTACCCTTTCATTCCACACTCTGGAAGAAGTTGAGATGAAATTCCTTATCCCTAACCTTTGCAAGAAGAAAGAATAAAACCAACCAACCAAGACCACACACAAGAGGAAAACCCGAAGACCTGCCATAGTATTGTTCCTTACATTTGTATGCCCTTTCAATCTACGGGACCCATTCCGTTCATATAAATCCATTGGAGGTTCAAAGCACCAGTTTGACTGAAGATTAAAGACTAAAGGATTCTCTATCCAAAGGCCAAATCTTCTGCTCTGTTGAGAGCAAAGAAACTTATTGAAAAATAAGTCAAAACATAAGCTGCATGATGCCCCACGTGTGAGCCACAAACTTTGCAAGCCCAAATTGCAATTGGCAATTTCAGTGAGGTCCTTGGCAAGCATCTTGCAGCACTGAGCGACACCTTACTGTACGAGCCCTTAAATCAAAACACTAATAAGACGGGGTTTTCTATAGATGTGTCTTGCGACTGACTGCTGAGATGAGCTTTACCTGTAGTACCCAAGCTCTTTTGTGTATGGACTTTCCACTATTTAACAAGGAGTCCATGTTATCCCTCAGGCTCTGTGCACACTGTGATTTTTCTCAAACACACATCTGTTATTCACAAAAAACATGCCTCTGAAATGCGCCTTTGCTGTGGGCCTGCCCCAGAGATAAGCCGTCACCTTGAGATCTTTGATTCCCTGAAGAGCAGCAATGCAGGACTCCCTGACGCAACACGTCCTGCAGTCTCTGCGGTGGCCTTGCAAACATCACGAGCAGCAACACACTGAGGTCAAAAGGCAAAGCCCCAACTGCCTCAGATGAGCTTAGACTTCTTGGGCAAAATACCGACGCTTCACTCCAGCAGTGACTTCCTATCAGCTAACCAAAACAGGCACTTACAGCTGAAAGCACATTCGTTAACACCACGTCATTAAATCTCCACATTCCTCTTCAAAGATATTTGATATTAATATTGGCTGTATGGATCCCCTAAATATCTGTGATCCATGTCACACTCAGTCTTTGTTTTCATTGCCTTGCTGGTGCTTTTTACAAATGCACAAGTACACCTAAGGCTCTCAGAAATCAGCACGGAGCTGTACTGCCTCGTCTGCACTGGCGTGTGGGAATCTTATTCTTCGACACCAGCACGTCCCACGTCTGTCAAGTCGTGCTCAAGACCACAGGACACCCTACACGCACTTGACCTGGCAGCAGCACCCTGACACTTGGCTATTCTGTCTGCTGTACAATCTGGATGCTCACTGCCACCTCCTGGCAAACTGCTGTGCTGGAGCACCACAGACTCAAAGCACTGGCACAGATGCTACCGAGAAACCACGCAGCCTACAAGAACACAGCATGGAAGTGGCAGCAAGAGAAGCATCCGAAAGTCCTCCAAGGACCCCACAGACTCTCCATCCTTTTCACTCCCTCCTAAAATTGACCAACAGTTCTACAGAACTCCAGGCTTACTCCTGCAGGGAGCTTCCGCTTTACATGGGAGGAGGGACATAACGTCCTCACCCGAATACGCAACAGAAGGAATGGTATCCAACCTGCACCTGATCTTCTTCCTAACAGAAAAGCTTTAACATGGGACTTAAAAACCCGAAACTGGAGTTGTCTAAACAACAGTTGCTACAGGGCGTTTTACTCATTTGCCTACAGCAACGTGGTTTTCTGCTACTTTAGGGGAAGACAGGACCTGAAAAATTCACATCAGCGCTTACACCGAACCTGATGCGCTTCCTCCAAAAGGCAATTCAGTGCTTTCCAGGCTACTTCCAGAAAAACAAAGGGACTGAAAACATTCTAAGCAGTGATACAGGACGATTCCGAGTCCACGTAAACTTGCCCAAGCTGGTTTATTTTATTTAGGCAAATGAACATGAGCAAGGGAGCAGCGATTTAAGTTGCCTTACAAAAGGAAACTAGCAGCCACCCAGGTGGCACTTGAGCACCGCTGTAACGCCACTGTCACACCACGAGCAGTTGGCTACTTGAAGCTAGGTCCGTTGGTATGGCCGAGTACCCAGTCGCTCCCATTCTTGTGCCCTGGGATAGCCAAACTAGGCCGATGCAAGAAACCTTTCCGCTCTCCCCAAAGTGCCAGTTTTAACTATTCACTGCCACTCCTCTCCAGCTAGCCCTTTGAGAGCAGCTTCCTTCAAACATCGTAAAGCCTCGATCATTTTGCCATGTTACTACTGCTTCTTTCGCTTTTCACTTCCTGTGGCATTAGCAGGGGGAGGGGATCTCCGCCTGCCTGTAAAACTGCATTACTGCTGACAAGCTACGTTGTTCAAACGTGTTTAGTGTTTGGCTTTGCTGATTGGCAATTTGTGACCACTGTGAGAGGAAAAGCATCCCACTGCACCACCTCACCAGTCAACCTCTTCAAAAGGATAACTGCAATCAAGTTCAGCTGAGGTCCTGGCAGAGCGGAAGGAGCTCTCCGTTCTGTTTCACTAAGAATTTATTCCCTTAGCATTTCAAATCTGTACCTGGGCTCCTCCTACGCCCTTTTCAAGAAAAACAATCTCCAGAAGCAATAGGTATTTAAGCGTAGTTTGTCTAAAGCAGGACCTACTCCTGCTGGCAGACCACAAACAGACACAGCTATATATAAACAGACACAGTCTGCCTGCATACAGTCCGTTCTACCTTTTTAAAAGATGGTCTGAGTCTGAAAGACAAACAGCTGCAGAATCCCTCCCATTCTGACAGCAGGAAAATCAGGTACGGCAGTACAAAATGCTAGCTCAGAGGAGTAGCGGAACAGGTATGATGAGTAAGCACTTACGAACCCCTGGCTGCAGTTCTCCAACCCCTCAGACCCTCCTCCCCTTACCTGAACTTGCTGACAAACGGCTGGTACAGCACAGGAACTTGTCATTAGGAGGCTGGCAACAGTGCTTTCAAAATCAACTCTGTTGTTATTCTCAAAGTCTGGAATTTCTTCACTGAAAATCCATGAGGAAAACTCTGAAACCAACTAAGCATGATGTTTTCTGAAAAGATGTTCCAATTAAAAGCTTAAATAACTTACAGAAGCTGCTCAAGGCAAGTATTTATTCATACCCAATATGGAATTAACTAGTTACAAAGCAAGATCTTTCATGCTACGAAGTGTTGCTACTTACGCTCGGGGGTATACTGAACGCTGCTGATTTGAGGCCTAGATGAAATCTTTCAGATCCCTCTCCTCAGTCAGGTGCAATACCAGGGTCGATCGCTAGATAAACCTCAAGTCAATGTTTAACATAAATAATTCGGTCTCAGGTGTATGTTCAAGGGTGAAGTGCTGACACCATCGAGGCATCTCTTTCCCGTGCAGTTCAGCGACGCGCGTACCACTTTAGGACACAGGAAAGCAAACTCTGCGCAAGCCTAACACCATCATTTGCGTAAGGAAAGAAATGTAAGGTCATTTAGAACTAGACTGAACTGATTTTATTTCCTTCCAAAAAGAAAAGACACTAATTTAACTGTATACAGAATTTAATTTAACTAGAACTATACAAGTTTCAGTATAATGTCCTGTTCAAGAACTAACTGCTTATATATATTAAAAAAAATACTGCCAAAATTCTAATTTATACTTTACAATTAGATGTCCCATCTTTCTTTCTATGCCTGATGACTTCAGTTTCCAGCTGCGGTGTTCAGATTAACTTAGGAATGGATGGAAATTCACTGTCTTAAGTGCAGTTTCGTTATTACCCATGTTTTCTACCAGCAAAATGACTCAAAAGGAAGTTTTGCAGTGTTAGCCATGAAAAATGTTATGAACTTATGTTAAGAACAGGTTTCAGGAGAAGAGTAACAACAGTTTTTACTAAAATAAAGCATGTCACATCCATCTAAAAAATACTTATGCATTCCTGTGCATATTCTTATGCTTATTATTCTGTTGCATTTTACTACAGTACCTGCAGATTTTTTACCCTGAACACCTGACAAGTGAGTAGTAACCACTTTTAGTGAGACCATCAAAACTCCAAGTTCTCTGAGCACTCAGAGTCCCTGTTTTAAGGTAAAAGGTGTCCAAGGAGGTTACAAGAACTTTCATCATTATACTCACAGAAGTTAGCCAAAAGAACAAGACAGTTTTCTGTTTTTCTGGTATCAAACCCTACTGCTCCCCCCGCTTTCTATTGTTACTGCATTTAAACCTCCAGGATTCCTCACCACGACTGAGCAAAGGTACTATTTACTGTACTGTTTTACCTAGTTGCTGTCCAGGCACACTGAAAACTCCCACTACACTGCCAATTCTCCACATCCACCATTCCAGCTAATGGACGTCTAGGTCAAACCAGAATGACAGTCACCAATTCTGTCTGGGTATGCCACCTGACGTGGCGTCATGTAATTGCATCACAAATCATTGTAATTGAATGCAAAGCAAAGGAAACTTGAGTTTATTTAGCTTCCAGTTTCTGGGAGGTCAAGAGGAACTAGGACTGCTCTGGACAACAGAAGAAAATCGACTGTGCTTACAGATCATTTTCTGCCATATTCTTTCTTTAGGACCACTGTTTTATTGTCACCCTGTCTCTTACATGGGATGTACATATTATCAGGTGTTAATAAACGGTCAGTGCCTGTACAATACATTCTACAACTGAGCACCACTTTCTGTAACTGAACAGGCAAAGAAATTACACTGAACATCAGCATCTGGCAGTATTTCTCCAAAAAAAGTGACTAAAATGGGTTTAAATTGATTAACACTATTAAATCACATCTAATATTTGATACTACATGATTTCATTACAGCTATACGATACAATTATACAAAATGTGTTAACATCAAAGAATACAACCAAAATTAAGATAGCAAACAAAACCTATATAACTTTTTTTCTTTACAGGAAAATACTTTTGAAGTATGCATGTAACTGCCCATTCTCTTAAAGAAAATCTACCGCAAGCAAAGTTATCAACCTCCAGAAAATCACACATAGCATTACTACGCATATCCCCAAAAAGTGTACAATATGCACACTTGGAAAATACAAAATTAAAAAAATCGTAAGCAACAGGTGAGCTTCATATTTATAAGAATGTGAAAAGAAGTCCAATTTTAGCACTGTTGTATAAAGAATTGTCTTTTTTTTTGATGCAAGTTCATGAGCTGACCCCTCCGGTCGGGGCCACAATTTACAAAACACCATGTTCTTGAAACGGGGTTACAGAGCAAGGTAGAGCATCTGAGCAATGTCACCTTGAAGTGTTTTTTCTGGGGTGGGTTTTTTTTGCTTTTTATTGACTACTTATCAAAACACGTCCTTTAGGTGAGTAGGGTTCTTTTTTAAAATTCTTTCCTAGAAACAATATACAAAGGGGAGGCGTATTTACTTCCAATTTATATTCCTGTAAGATGCTTTGAGTTCAAGATATTTCTCCTCCAACTTTCACTGGTTGTTTTTGGCCTTAGCGTGTGTTAAGATGTGAGATTTCAGGTTAGTTGATTGCGCAAACTTCTTATTGCAGCCGTCGAATGGGCAAACGTAGGGCCTGTCGCCGGTATGAATTCGCACATGTGTGCGTAAATTGAAGTCCAGTGAAAAACGCTTTCCACAGCCTTCAAACGTACACTGTTGAAAGGAAAACACACTCCGTTAGCTGACACGACGGGCACTCGCTTTGATCATCCAATCAACAGCCTTCTCCTGTAAATCATTAGACTGCACAAAGCCAGATGCTGAAGATTATTACAGATGAAGCTGTCGGTATCACTTGTAAACTGCATTTAAAAAATAAAATTAACACTTTGGGTTGTTTTACCACAGCAGTGTATCTGTTTTCAAAGAGGGAAATAACTTCCAGCTTGCAAGCAAACACTAAAACCACCTTGTCTGCACCTGAAACAGTACTGTGTTACGCTGTACTAGAAAATGTTTCACATCAGAATTTCCCTCTTTTGGTAATAATTTGCAAAGATTTCATAGTATCACAGAATGGTTTGGGCTAGAAGGGACCTTAAGGACCATCTAGTTCCAACCCCCCTGCCATGGGCAGGGACACCTTCCACTAGACCAGGTTGCTCAAAGCCTCATCCAGCCTGGCCTTGAACACTTCCAGCGGTGGGGCATCCACAGCTTCTCTGGGCAACCTGTTCCAGTGCTTCACGTTGCTCATTTTACCAGCTTTCCTATTAAGATGAACTCAGAAGACAAAGACCAGCATGTTTAGCAGTAAATACTTAAGATTTAACACACAGCAGCTCCAGCATTACACATCTAAGTGAATGCCTGAGGATTGCAAATGGGGTTTCTGAAATAGTTCATTAAAAAAATATCAATGAAAACCCACATATCTTAAGCGTGTGCTGGACAACACAGATACGCTCAAGACTACAAATACATGTAAAGAGTATTTATAAGGAGTATCATAAGAAGTGGGCAGGGGACCTCTGGTGGCAGCAGCTCCCATGACTGAATATGAACAGAAAGAGATACAGCAACCACCATCATTTTGCTGAAAACTGATGAATTCCTTCTCCTGAAAATTAGTATCGTGAGTCAACTGAGCAAACAGCCCTGAGCCTCAGATGTCCACAAGCGCAAAGTTGGGAAGATGATGAGGAGAAAGAGACATTTTCCTCATTCAGCAGACAACTGCAGACATTTTTCAAGTGGGTAACTTCACACTGTGATTTGGAAGGTGTACCTACAGTTTGCTAATTTCTAACAAAAGCCCATGGAATTAGTGAAACGATAGCCTAATTAGCTTAAGGGGACTTCCAATTTTTAAGGTGATCATTCGGTGCCTCATCTGATTTTAGAAAAACATAGCCACGTGTCATATAAAAGCAAGGTTACAGACTACACCTAGGTACCACAGTTTGTTTGGTAAACACATCTGGAGGGTGACGGTACCTGAAAGGGTTTCTCTCCGGTATGAACTAGCTGATGCCGCTTTAGTTTTGAGCTCTCCACAAAGGCCTTGCCACATTCTGCACATACGTGTACTCGAGGGCCATGAGTGTGCAGATGCTTCCTCATGGCAGAGTTGTCCCTGAACATCTTTGTGCAGCCCTTAAAAAGAACAGCGAAACTCAATTAGTAGATAAGCTCATTCGGATAAAGAAGGTTTTGTCTGCTACAGTACAAGCATTTAAAATGCTTTTGTACCCCTGAATACTTTCTTAAAGTTGGCCCTGAAAAGGAGACTCCTTACATTGATTTTTAAAAAGCAATACCAGGAAAACTAATCATTTGAGAAGCTGACAGAACAACCCCCCCAAAAAACCCCAACACAATCCCAAACATAAAACCCCAAATCCCTCTCCTCACTTAGCATTATGAACCGTGTGCAGTCAAATGACTAATAGCACAGTCTCATGGAGAAGATGCAGCTCTGACAGAAGCAAATGAGTAAACCAAAACAAAAGCACTTACAGTTTCAGGGGAAAACAAACAAAGACAGAATGATAGTTCATGGATACCTATGGTGTATTCTTCAGTGTGCTGTATTTTGAGTACTACAGCACTACAATACAGTCCCTAATATACCATAAATTACTCCCTAGTACCGATCTGTATGCGCACCACTCCATCTCCCAACATTCTGTCCTCTTCCTTCCTGTCCTCATTCCTGAGAGATGGAGGAAGAGGGTTTCCAGCACGTAACAGCTTAGAGAAACTACCCTGTCCAAACAGGGACCAGCAGATTGATCACTACCACTCAGAGATACAGAGATTGCCACTGCTTCTACAGTTTAAACCTACAAGTGATACTGGGCAACCGAATAAGGTAGGAGACTCTGAGTTAGTGCCAACTCAACCTAAAAGCAAAAGATACTCACAGTAACTCAGGTACAGCAGCACAAGCCTTAATCTGGGGTCTACGCTACGTCGCGACACGAATGCTGTTCTGGACTCCAGAGTACATTTAAGCCAGCAGTGACTTGGGGCTCTCTTTACCTAGGCTTTCTGTACTGTTTTTTCACCTTCTAGTGACAATCAATGGATATTCATTATGTTTTTAAAATGTCTTCCTCAAGGTTCAAAATCCTTCAAAATCCCATTAACAACTGTAAAGTCTATCTTTACTCCAAGTGATGCTGTTTAAACTTACATAAAGCTAGTCTACCAACATCACTGTGTTATAAAATTTGACCACAGAATCTAAAAGAATATTCAATTTCTCATCTTAAATTCTGCTGGCTTCCTCTTTGAAAATTTTTTTTTTTTTCCAAAACTAATAACCACATTTAAATATGCTTTATTTCTTAAAAAAGGGGGGAAATGCCCCTTTCAGGAAGAGTTTGCTCTTCAGGCAGTAGAATTTCTTTGGCTAGTTTTAAGGAGTGTTGTGCCACCATTCACTGAACATAACAGGACTTTTCTTTGCATTTATGTCAAAAGTCCCTGCTTGCCTCTGAGAGAAGCAGTCACATCATCTACGATATTTTCCTCTTTTAAACTGAAGCCAGAAACACACAAAACCTAGAAACACTAGAAGAGAAAAAATGGAAAGACAGAATATTCTTTTTTCCCCCCAGTTCAAATGAAGTTGAGGCTATGAAAAATAAATCAAAGAAATGAAAGCAGCATTCCTTGGCAGTGCAAGGAGTAACTGTTCCTGTATCTCCACACACTATACTACAATAAAAACATGACACTTGTAGAGAATGTGAAGAATTGGAAATCAATATAGGCACAAAGAGGAATTCAGCAAACTCCTTCAACTATGGATGTCAGAAAGAAGCCTTCTGTCCATGCTCTCTGATGTGTACTATTAGCTATCTGCCCTGATCATTTGCTTAGGCTCACACTTATCTAGACCAGAAGTCAGCAAGATTGTGTCTTTTTCCATTAGAGACTAAGTCAGCTAACAAAAGCTCTACAAAAGCTGGATAATGCAGTAAAGCTAGGTGCTACCAGTCTAGACGGCTGGCAACATTTATTCAAGACAGAGGCTTCCCGATACCAGTGGATCAGAATCGTATCTCCAAGATGCCTCTCTCTCTTTCAAGATGATGCACCTTCCAGCTCTGTGGAATGTAATTCAAAGTCTTCCAATAATGCTGACTTTGGCATTTGTACCAGAAATTGCTGATTCCTGATCTAGACTCCAAATCTGTCATAGTTTCCAAGCAGAGGAGATATAGATCTTAGGAACGTACTTTGAACAGCTTTCAGAATATTCTTTCAAGTATGTATTCTTGGGTGGCAGGAAATCACAACAGTAAAACCAGCATGTTAGGGACTGTGCATCATGGTTACCAGAAGATTAGGGATGCACTAACCTTAAGACAAGGAACGGGAATAATATATTATTCAATGAAAGGTTTTTAAGGAAGCCTCTAAAGAATAACAACTAAAATACAGTTAACTGAGTGTAGTCTATTAACAGTAAGATATTTTAGTTATTCATTCTCAAGAGAAGACATCAAAACAAAATTTGGCTCTACAGATTACTACATACTCAGAAGCTGAACACTTCACTTACTTTGTGAGGACAAGCTATCGTTCGTGGAGCATCATCTTCTTTAATTTTTCTTGGTTTCATTCTTAAAGATAAAAAGCAACACATTAGAAAAACATCAGCAGAGAGCTGTTCTCTTGTAACTGCCTACCTAATGTGCACAGTTATGCAATAGTGTTACGTGCATCAGTACTGCCCAGTTTAGTATTTTCAAAATCTTCATAATAATATTAATAGCAGAATTTGGAAAGTACAGTTTTTCCAGGGGACCTCTCAAATACAGAATAAGACATTTAATACTACCTTCCTAGTCCTCTAAACACATTGAATGGTTTTTTTTTCCCGACTTAAACTATTATAACTAGGCCATTTTGTTTGTTGTGCCAGTACCCATTAGGGCTATTTATCTTCAATCCCTCTCCATCCCTGCACCAGAACATGAAGTCGCCTCAACCATTCTTCAGTATTTTCACCACACAAGACTTCAGAATAAAACTGTACAGAACCAGGGAAGGCAGGCAAGATATGGAATCTAGAGAGACAATGTCGACATCCACCATAACCACAGAAATGGCAATTATTCTTGCTTCAAGCTACTATACAGATAGATCCCACTCTTGGCAACTAACAAGAAACCAACTCTTTACTCCTGGTCACTCATGGTCTGAATCTCAGAGTCAGCTGGGTGGACACTATTCCAGGGAAGTGTTCTGCCCTTTTATCCATCTTTATTTCTCAAACCTGTAGTGCTATCTTATTCCCACCTTACGGTGGAAGTAGGTAGGTGTAAATAAACACACCTCATACAGGTGGGGATTCACTTATCTACGTAATGAGATTTTACACATTCCAAAACCTTGCTGTAGAATGGGGGCTAGTCTGTTTATGTGAATTCCTCAACATCTCTTCCTGGTAACACAGCAGAAGATGGTGTGGCCTTTGAGAGAGTGGTGAGGCACTGGAACAGGTTGCCCAGAGAAGCTGTGGATGCCCCATCCCTGGATGTCTTCAAGGCCAAGCTGGATGAGGCTTTGAGCAACCTGGTCTAGTGGAAGGTGTCCCTGCCCATGGCAGGGGGGTTGGAACTAGATGGGCTTTAAGGTCCCTTCCAGCCCAAACCATTCCATGTTTCTATGATTCTAAGATAATTCTGTATGACAAGGTAGCTAAGTATCATATCTGTAAGTTAAACGAAAGGTTTTCTGGTGTACTCTCTAGTCTCAATGAAACAAGATGTGAGCGGCTTGAATATAACAAGAGTTAGAATTACCAGAATCAATATTCTTAACATTAAGAAGGAGTCTTGCTACCCAAGACAGCTTTAATGCCCATGAGTTCAGTTCCTGGAAACAGATAGGGAAGAACATGGTGGGAGAAGAGATTTCCAAGTAGTGCATACTTGCATTTTTAATTATCAATCTGAGACTGGCTAAACAGCAACTTTTAAACATTCAAAACCCAAGAGCT